GGCTCAGGTCATGATCCTGGAGTCCCTGGATCGAGTCCCACATTGGGCTCCCTACTTGGCAGGGAGTCTGGTTTGCCCTGTGACCCTCCCCCCTCTCATGTGCACTCTCTGTCTCTCAAATAAATAAATAAAATCTTAAAAAAAAAAAAAAACTGTTAGAAATAATTCATATTAATCAAGAGATTATATCCTTTTATATAAATATACACTTAACATCTTAATTTTAGCACCAAATAAAATTTCCTTTTTTTGCTATATAAAACTGCTCTGAAAATAAGTATTAGCTCAAATAAGAACTTAGGAATCAAAAGAATGTTAGAGGAAAAGTTTATAGAAAATACAGAAATGTTACCTTTATAAAGGTTGGTTTTATTTAAAATGTAGTTTTTTTCCTTTAAGAATAAGTGTTTCTCCCATCCTCACCCCTACCTCCATTTCTAATGAAAAGTCTGTCTTAAACTCTTTTTTTTTAAGATTCCCACTAAAAATATCGAAGGTCAGATGACACCCTACTATCCTGTGGGAATGGGAAATGGTACACCTTGTAGTTTGAAACAGAACCGGCCCAGATCAAGTACGGTGATGTACATATGTCATCCTGAATCTAAGCATGAAATTCTTTCAGTAGCTGAAGTTACAACTTGTGAATATGAAGTTGTCATTTTGACACCACTTTTGTGCAATCATCCTAAATATAGGTAGGATGTGGATTTAATATTTTAAACATGAAACGCACACATGCTTTAAAGTGTCATATGCTTAGCTTTAATGCTTTGTTCTTACTGAATAGATTCAGAGCGTCCCCTGTGAATGACATATTTTGCCAGTCACTGCCAGGATCACCATTTAAACCCCTCACCCTGAGGCAATTGGAACAGCAGGAAGAAATACTAAGGGTGCCTTTCAGGAGAAATAAAGAGGTATGTGAATTATGTAACAGTATTTTCTCAGTGCTTCCTTTTCCAAATTTAAGAGCATGTATCAGTATTTTAATCATTCCTGTAGCATAGTAGTAGTAATTTATTTTTCTGACTCAAATTTTAAGTTCCAATTTTTTAACTGATTTTAATTATTTTCCTTATTCTTGTACTTCTCAGAAACTATTTTATCATTCTCTTATTCTCATGATTTCATATTTTAAAGTGTGACATCCTATTCATTGTAGTTAAGTTGACTTTTTAGGTAGTTGACTGGCCTTCCCAGCTGAGCCCCTTGAAAAAATAAACTACAACTCATCTTCTAATGCTTTATTTCTTCTTCAACCCATTGCTCTATGTCATCAAACCATCATTCTTCTGAAACTTCTTATTCAGGTCAACAGCAATCTTTTGGTTCTAAGTCCACTGGACATATACATAACTTGATCTTAGCACATAAAACACTGAACATGTGAAGCTTGAACTTTCTCTACTGCCTTTACTTGAAGTCATTCTCTCTGTTCTCCTGTCCTGTGTATTAGGTCTTTGTCTACTTCCTGCCCTGAAAATGTTGACGTTCCCCACAGTTCTAGCCATAGTTGCCTTCTCTCTGTAGTGTATATAGTCTCAAGTGAGCTCATCCAGGCCCATTCTGTTAACTTCATTAATATGCCCATGAGTTTCAAATACACATCTTCAACGTTGACCTTTCCCCTGAACTCAAACCACAGTCACAATAGTTAACATGGATTGAATATTAACAGCTGTTATCTAATCCTCACAAAAACCTACAAGAATATACTATTATCATCCTCCTTAACATGTTAGGAAATTGAGGTTCAGAGAAGGGAAGTGACAAGTGATGGATTACAGATGAAAATCAAAACAGTCTGGTTCTGGAACCTGTCCTCTTAACCACTTCTCTATGCTGCTTCTCCTTTTCCATGTGCTTTTTTCCCTTTTCCTCTGCTCATTGGACATAACCATATACATTTTCAGTAATCTCAAATTCATCTGTCTTACACTGACCTTTTCCTAATCTTCCCTGTTGTTGTTTTTTTTTTATTTTCATTTATTTACCTATTTATTTTTGAGTAATCTCCACACCCAACGTGGAGCTTGAACTCACAATCCCAGGATCAAGAGTCGCATGCTCCCTACTGAGCCAGCCAGGTGCCCCTTCCCCATTGTTTTTAAAGCAGTGTTACTTCCTTTGCAAATGAGAGAGGACTTCTAATGAATTACCCCAGGAAGAGATCAAAGTTTCCTCTTTTTTGGTCTTGTATTTTACTCAGTCCTGCATTATAGCACTTACATGGCTAAAATTGGTTGATTTTCCTATGATTCTTACACTAAGATCAAGGAGAATATGCTATGCTTTTATTACTTTGAGGTTTCTAGCTCCTTGCATGATACCTGGTATACTGTGGGTACTTAGTAATGGTTTAATTAACTAATAACTAACATTTAGCTGCAAAGCCTGTTTCTCCCGTTTCTCTTCAGTACTTCTGGCAAAAGTATTGCCACACTCTTTGTGGCTGTTGTGAACACTGCCATTCTGATAGGAAGGAAAAATTATCTTATTAATCTGCACTTGATTTGAAGTGCTCAATTAAAAGATTGGACATGGATTTTTCTACTGGTCTTCTCCCTGATAGTGATTTAAATACTGACAAGTACTTAAAAGTCAGCTCAATCAAAATGCTTCCCAAATCCCAACTTTAATTACTCTTCAGAGAAGAAATGGCAGCTTACTTTTCTCTAATTAATGTGTTTAATCTGCTGTTTGAGAAAAATTGTTTTTAAAAAGCTACAGATGATAATACTTTCAAAATACTTAGGACCCTTAGAATACATGTTGTAGATGAAAACCTTAGGTAATACTGTAGGGTGAAAAGTTATTTAAAGTGACATTTTTCTCAGAATCCTTTCCTTTATAAATCTATTACGTATAACTTTTTTTAAAAAATTGGTATTTGTCATATGGTTTGCCTTTTAAATGTGGAATAAGCTTAACCATAAAGATAATGAATTTTTTTTCTGTTTTAAACAAAAATACAAATCTGGCTATCAGAATTTTGTTTTGATATTATACCTGTTACTTGTGTTCTGTTTGACATGAAATGGTTTATTAAGGGGACTTAGGACTGAAGCCTCTTGGGCTATGGCAAATAGACAACATGACAAATTGATCTTCACAACTCCACCTCTTGTAAGACCTGCTTTTATAGCCCTAGAGGCTGGGAGTACACACTAGGGAACTACCCCGGAGAATGTTTAGGAATAGGTATGAGTACAGAAACTATTTGCCAGATAACCCACTAAATAAAGTCTTAATGAGGCTTTACAAAAAAAGAGAGAGAGAAAAAAGAATAGGTGTGAGTCATAGTCACTTCTTCAGCAGATCAAGGATGTTGTGCCCGGAGGGTGTACTTAAGGGCGTAGTTGAACAAAAGGACAGAATGGTGGGGGTGCTATACTCAAGAAGGCTTCAAGTAACAGAGGGGTCATCATGGCAGATTGGTCCAAGATGATGTTAGTCTAGCTGTCACATGTTACCCCTCAAATCCAGCTCTTAGAGTCTCATATGCCCACCTCTTCCATGATATTCCCTGAGCCATCAGAGAAGGGCTTTTTTGCAGTAAGGGCACTTTGGCTAGACAGTGTCCAAGTTGAATGCATAATCCACAGCAGCTGTAGAGACAGCAAGAAAAGAGACCTATGTTGACACAACTAAGAATGAGTAATAATTTTGCCACCATGTCCCCCAGACTTTAAACCAGTTTGATAACTACTGGGTTAAAGTGCTCACAGGACCATCTAATGCCTATATCTCTTTATGCATGTCTTTTAATGCATAAGTGATACTGCTTGAATTAACAGTCATATATATGCATCATTTGGTTTGAATGATAGCATAAGTGCCCCCTTGTGCTACGGTGAGTACATCCAAGGCCATTCTATTTTGTAATATGGCTTTTCACATCTTTGTCATCTCTGTGTTCATGAGTGGCAGGCTATGGTAACTATTGTTGAGGATCCTCTGGGTATAATTAATTGTCTATATGCCATATCACATCTTCTGTGCCTAAAGATGGTACAGATATTCCTGCTAAATGGTCATACCAATGAAAGACAGCATGGGTCCATCATGCCTTTAAATGGGGTAAATTTGCAGAGGCTGTTAGGGTGCTATCAGTGCTGTTATTATATTACATTAACTTGGAGATTACTAGACCATTAGGAATCCATTTTATGAATTTCCAAACCCTGCCACAAAAACTATCATCTTGCTTTTATTGGAATAATTTTTCTTAAAAATGCAAGGAGATGTTCTGTCCACAAGAAGCAATAATAAATGGTCATACTTCTATTCTTCCTACCTCTTCCCCTATCTGAGCTGGAGGTTTCAGTGTTTTTCCTCACTAACCTTACTATAGGTCTCATGCATTCTAAGTAATTAGTTTAGTCTGTTAGAGCTTAGCTCCTTAGGAGCAGTGACTATGTCTTCTTCATTTTTAATACTCAGCACTTAAAACAGTACCAGGAGTGTGGTATGTTCTGAATGTAGAAAGACTATACATAAAATCCAAAGTCCTTTCAAAAAATAGGATGTCATTTGGCAATCTTTGTTCTTCTGGAATATTGGAGGAGAGGAAGGGTAAGGTCATTGGTTTCTAGAGTAACCTTGCAGTGACTCCCACCAGCCAAAGTAGGAGAAAAGAACCACAGTGGAGCAATGGCGCCTACAGCAGGTGAAAGGAGGCATCGTGACCACTATACATTTACTAGGAACCCTTTTACTATTTAATTTCTTTAATTATGTTACTCAGTTTTAATTGGTATACTCCTTTAATTCTGATCTAGATTCATTTTCTCTCCTCACTGTCAAAACCCAGTTTACTTCTGGATTCTAACTCATTATCCTCTTTCGTAACTATTCTCTCCACCCACTTCTGCATTCCTTTAGAGTCTCTTCCTCTCTGGCTTGGGTTACTTCAACTCCCAATGTGGATCCACCTCGGGATTTGTTCTTACTAGTCCTTCCCTGCCACTGCGACAGTATTACTTAAAATCTGATCAAAAACCTGATCCCATATTTTTGCCTAAAATCCTTAAGATGAGGGTCGCCTGGGTGGCTCAGTCAGTTAAGCGTCTGCCTTCGGCTCAGGTTGTGGTCCCAGGGTCCTGGGATCAAGTCCCACATCTGGCTCCCTGCTCAGCGGGAAGTCTGCTTCTCCCTCTTCCTCTCTCCACCACCCCCCGCCCCCGTCTCTCTTTCAAATAAATAAATAAAATCTTTAAAATTAAAAAAAAAATCCTTAAGATGATATCCAAACTTCTTAAAATCATGTAATTTTTTACCAGTAAGTACCTGTTTATCTTTTTAGTTTTAAATATTATTCCACACCCCACGTCTTTGCTCCTATGTCTTCCTCAGGTTCACGTGCATATGTGCACACAGACACAAAACCTACAGACATTCACATACATCACAGATTATTCATGTTTCAAGAATCAAGGGTTTTCTCTCTGTGAAGTCTTCATGTTTCAATTCTGCATCAAAATCTCTGTGAATCACCAATCCCTCTGTGAATCTGCTGTTCTCTGTACCCTTTAGTGGGCGTCTTTCTTTACCAACTTGCAGCGTCCTTCAGGACAACAACCAGATCCTGCTGCATTTTAATAATTATAATTAATATTCTTATTTACTCCCACTTAGCTCTTTACCCTGATTGTTATCTTTTCTTTACCCATAGTAACCACATTTTCCAGAACTAAATGTAGTGACAAAATCTAACAAGTAGTGAAATAATAATATTTTAGTGCATTTCCTTTCAGTCTTTTTGGGGATTTTTTTTTTTTTTGATACACACACAGAGATACACATGAAAAAAAAATAATTGGGACCAACTGTGTGCTGTGTGTGTGTAAATATATAAAATATCTTCACTTGTTTTCACTTAATAGTATATCATTTTTTACATTCCTGTGTCATAAAGTAATCTTCTATAATATTATTTTAATTATCTCAAATATTCTATGGTTTAAAGTACCAAAATTTATTTAAATTATTTACTAGTGTGGATATTTTTGTTGTCCACAATTTTTTATTAACATGAAGAATGCCGCCCTGAATGTCATTGAAGCTAAATCTTTGCACCCATCGGTGGTGATTGTTTACTCCGGATAAATTTCTAGAAATAGGTCAAAGGTAAGCACATAACGAAGAGTTTTGCTATATACTGTCAAATTGTACTTGAGAAGAATTGTGGAATTTTACAGTCCCGTTAGAAATATTAAAAAAAAAAAAAAGGCAAGTGCTGATACATATTTGTGTATATTTCTTTGTATTTGTGTGTATATAATGTGTGTGTGTTTTCTAGTAAGGTGGAATACTACTTAGCTTAGGTACTTGCATTGGAGTAACTCTAGCTGCTATGATCAAAAAAAAAAGAAAAATGAGGCAAAATATATGAAATGATAATTATCCCGGTGTGTTGAGAATGGCCATCATACCCCTAATTGGTAGATGGAACTATCATTTGTCTAGAGCTTTCTCTATTGTATTAAGTGTTGCAAAATTCATTTTCTTAAAACACATTAAAAATGAGTGGACTTTTATTTTCCAAATTTCCTTCAGTTTAAAAATAATAAAGTCCTAACTGAAAAAAAAAAAAAAAGTATGGTATAGAAACCCTTAAACATATGTGTTTAACTTTAGGAAGAGTTGCAATCAACTAAAGAAGAGAGATTTCCAGCAATCCACAAACCCATTGCTGTTGGTTCTCAGCCTATGCTCACTGTTGGAACAACCCACATATCCAAATTGACAGATGACCAACTCATAAAAGAGTTCCTTAGTGGTTCTTACTGCTTTCATGGGGTGAGAAGTGAACCTTTGGTTTCAATATTTATCTAACAGCTTTCACTTGTGTGTTATTTAGTCACGGGTCATCAGCAGCCCTGAAAAAAGATTTTGTCAATAGAGAAATGGCAGGTTTCTGGAAGCCTCCTAATGGACATTTTCTGTCTGCATCTTACTATAATCCATAATAGCCATTATGTTTTCTTTGCTCACAAGCTAAAACTTGACCTTTACTTGACAGAAAATACATATAACTAAGTCATGTGTGATTCTGGTTGATTGCTGGAATGGGCATCAAGGACTGTATATCCTCAAAAAAAAAAAAAAAAAAGATTGTATAGCCTACATTTTAGTTATGTAGCAGTCACATTTAAAACTTGAGTTAATATCTACAAAGGTTAAATTTTGCCTCTAATAAACTATTAGTTCCAAGTGGGAAATAGAGTCAGTGGAATTTTCATTTTATTTTATTTTACCAAGGCAATACACCAGTTATTCTCTGTATTTGTCTTTTTTAAATTATTATTTCTCAGTAATTTCTTTTTTCTTTTTATTATTGAAGTGTAGCTGACATACAATGTTATATTAGTTTCAGGTGTATATAATGTAGTGATTTGACAACCCTATACATTACTCAATGCACATCACGCTAAGTATAATCATCTTTCACCATATAACATTATTTCTCAGTAACTTTTTTTAATTCTCAACCATATTATTGCTATTACAGTTTTTCTAATTATATATATTTCTATTACTGTCGTGTGGCAATACTGAGACAGACCCCAATCCCCCATTCTTTCTGTGTAACTTGATCTGTTTTCTTTCCTATAGGGTGTTGGTTGGTGGAAATATGAATTCTGCTATGGCAAACATGTACATCAATATCATGAGGTATAGAATAGCTTTCTATCATTCTACCACTAGATAGATTCAAGTTTTAAAATTCGTTTATGAAAAAAACAAGGGGGGATAGCATTTTAATTATGAAATGACTTTAATATGAAAATATTCAAAGTGTCTCTGAGTTCTAGAAAATGGAAAACTTGGTTTTAACTAAGTCACTCATCCTAAAGTAACGTTTATTAACTCCTCAGATTCTCGTATTACTGTGTTTCTGGAGGAATAATAGGCTATTGTGACTAACCTCTAGCTTTGACTGAGAAATTAATCATTAAAATTCTTCTTTAAATTAATGAAGTGAATAGTAAGATAGTACGTTATGGCTCGAGGTAGGAAAATAGGGTAAATACAGCAAGTTTCTCACCTATAGAACATACCATATCATCCAAGTTTAAAATCAACTAAGTTTTAAGATTATACACATTGGCTTTTTATTCTTCCTTTTATTTCTAATTTCATAAATCAGATAGCATTTTCTTCTACAACTTGAGCCAAACTGCCTAAATTCTGAACTTCAGGCTTCAATAAATTTGTCATAGTTGTACCTTGTTTGGTAGGGTAAACTGCTAGACGTTGAAGACAAATGTTAATTAATAAATATTCACCTGGCTGTTTTAAACAGCTCTTTTTATTTCCCCCAAAGAAATAATATCTAGTAATTTAAAAATATTGTATTTACCCTCTTGAGATGTTATGAGTCAGTCTTAAATTCCAAGACAGATCATACCAGGAAAGATCATCAACTCAACCTTCTACATTTAAATTGTTCCAAATTTATGAGGCATCTGTAAACTAGGACATTTTATTTCTCTACTTAAACCTGAGAAATGCCATTTCACTCTTCTTCCCACTTCTTCTTGCTACTATGTAGAGGTTTCATTTATTTTTAATAATATTTATTAATAGAAAAAATATTATCTAAGTACAACCCAGATAATACCCAATGGCTTTTTTTTAAATTAAAGGAATATATTCCAGAAATTTAGAATGAATAGTAAAATTCTCCTCCACCATTGTCCTATTTCCTAAAAGTAATTGCTGTTAACATTTTCTTAGTTAACCCTCCACAAGAAAAAAAAAAAAATGCATATACATAAATGTTAGTATAACTAGTAAATGCACTGTTCTGCACTTACTCTTTTCAGTTAGTATCTTGGAGATCTTTCCGTGCCAGCAACAGCTGATCTCATTCTTTTCAGCAGGTACAGAGGATTATGTTTATACCCACAATGTATTTAGCCAGATCTCTCCTGACAGACCTTTGAATTATTTCCAGTTTTTGCTGTGATAGCATCTTAGGGAGCATTTATAAATAGTGTTGGTAAACCTTTGTCAGTATATTCATAAGGCACATTTCTAGCAACAGACTTGCTAGGTCAAAATATATGCATACTGAATATTGCCTTCTAGGGACGCCTGGGTGGCTCAGTTGGTTAAGCATCTGCCTTCAGCTCAGGTCATGATCCCAGGGTCCTCAGGCTCCTTGCTCAGTGGGGAGCCTGCTTCTCCCTCTGAATAAAATCTTTTTTCTCTCTTTTTTTTTATTAACATATAATGTATTATTTGTTTCAGGGGTACAGGTCTGTGATTTATCAGTCTTACACAATTCACAGCGCTCACCATAGCACATACCCTCCCCAATGTCCATCACCCAGCCACCCCATCCCTCCCACCTCCCTCCACTCCAGTAATCCTCAGTTTGTTTCCTGAGATTAAGAGTCTCTTATGGTTTATCTCCCTCTCTGATTTTGTCATTTCATTTTTCCCTCCCTTCCTGCATGATCCTCTGTCTTGTTTCTCAGATTCCTCATATCAGTGAGATCATGTGATAATTGTCTTTCTCTGATTGACTTATTTCGCTTAGCATAATACCCTCTAGTTCCATGCACATTGTTGCAAATGGCAAGATTGCATTTAAATAAATAAAATCTTTAAAAATATAGATATAAAAAAAGAACATTGCCTTCCAAAAGGTTGTAAGTCATTCCCATTAACAATGACTTTAAAACACACACACACACACACACACACACACACACTGACTTTTTCCCCATACACTTGCCAACACTAGGTTTTATCAGACTCATTTTGCCCAAGGTCATATAACCTAGAAGTTTCTGAGGGACTCTGCTAGGAGCTTTGGGAGATAAACAAATATTAGTAGCTAACAAATACAATACTCATTGTATACCAGACACTGTTCTAAGTATGCATATTAACTCGATCCTCATAACAACCCTAAGAGGTGACTATTGTTCTTCCAAGGTGAGGAAATAGAAGCAATGATTTAGTAACTTGCCTAAAACCACATAGGTAGTAAATGATGAAACCAGAATGCTAACGCAGGCAGTCTTGCTCCATATCCAGCCTCTTAAACACTTCACTATGCAACTTCAGTCCCTGTCTATCTAGTAACTTACAGTCTGGTTGCTAAAAGAATGTTAAATTGTTGTCTCTTGCCCTGGGCAGTAAGCCCTGCTAGCAGCATTGGCTGTGTCTGTTTCATCTACCACTGTAAGGGTTTCTAATTCTACCCAACAGATGTATGCTAGTGCTCAGCAGTGCCTGGCATAAAATATGAAGAAGGAAAGGAAGACAGGAAGGAAGGGAGGGGAGAGGAAAGAAAAGAAGAGAGAAGGAAGGAAGTCCACATATAAGACAGTATAATAGTGTTTAAAAAAATTAACAGAATGGGGAAGGGGGTTTCTGAACAGACATCTTGATACAGAAATAAGCATGGTGTCAAATGAGTGTGTGAATACACATATAATTTGCAGATTGGCATTTGTAAGAGTAGAAATAGGATGAAGATAGGCTCAGTGGGTCTGCAGGTAAGAGAGATAGGCCAGAGATTTAACTGAGAATCACGGTAGTGGGGCGCCTGGGTGGCTCAGTTGGTTAAGCATCTGACTCTTGATCTCAGCTTAGGTCTTGATCTCAGGGTTGTGAGTTCAAGCCCCGCATTGGGCTCCATGCTGGGTGTGGAGCCTACTTAAAAAAAAAAAAAGAAGAATCAGTAGTATGCAGGCATATCATTTAGGTATGAGAAATTAAACTCGTTGGAAATGTAGAGGAAGAGTCTGAAGCCAAGAACATCTCCAGGAAAACAGTGGACAAAACCAATAGATGTAGGGGAGGAAGGAAATAAAAGAGTCAAAGATAACTGCATGTGGAGCTAGCTGACGAGAAAGTAGTTACATTGTTCAGAGAAACAAGGAACAAAGAAGATAATGAGCTCAAGTGTCTACTCATCAGGTTTGACTAGCATTGTTTGACTAACATCTAAACACCCATCTGTGGGTGCCTGGTGGCTCAATCGTTACGTGTCTGCCTTCGGCTCAGGTCATGATCCCAGGGTCCTGGGATCGAGCCCC